ATAACACCTTTCATGTTGAAAGTTTCTAAGCAGGGAATTACTCATTGAACTTTATTATTTCTCTAACTGTGAATTATCGTTAGCAACGCAATTTACGGAGGTTAAGAAACTCAAGAAATAAAATAAATGAAAAGTTTCGATCATTGGACAAAGATTCAATCGAGAGAACTCGTTAGAAAACTTGGTTTTTTATTTATTTATTTATATGGTTTCCCAAAGTTTACATAAGTAATTTTGACAGAAAACTTGCATTTTTTTTAAAACAAAATTAAGGAAAATGTTTTTTTTTATTGATTCATAACGTCTCCTGTATTATAGTGGTATGTATGCAATAGCATGTCAGGTATAGCTCGTTCACCAGGAATTGGGACTTGACTCAGCCTTCATCACGTGGTATAATACGATACTATTTCGCAATTTTTGGGAGAAGGTTGTGAACAATCCTGACAAGGTTGCTATTTGGCGATAGTATGGCAAAAATATTTATTTCGCAAACTTTACCTGCATTTTTTTAACATTAACTATTTCATAAATTTGATGATATTTTGCGAAATTTTTTTTAATGATATTTCTCTCTTATGAGTGAATAGTTTGTCCTTTCTGAGAAATTTTGCTGGGAAAACAGCTTTTAAATTTAAAATATATAAACTTATCTAGAGAAACGAAAGGTATAATAGATGATAAAGTGAAGTGACTGAAGAAGTCACTTTATGTGTTTGGCGCGCATTAAGGGTTGTCTCAATTTCAAGCGATGTTTCTCTTCTTACTCCCGCACTGAAATGAACTCTTCGTCCGAGCAGGTGGAGCCAAGCGCCAACTCCTGATGAGCGAACTATGAATGGTATCCCCTATTTTGTTGGCGCATACAGACTCTTTTATCACAATTTTGCATAAATGTGACTTACTTTTAATAATTCTTCTCCTAGTGCAAGACGTGGGGTTATTGGGAAATTATTAGCATAAACTTTTACTATTTTTTTAAAGGTATTATATCGTTAAATATCAAGACCAGGAGCCGTGGTTTCAATGGGGATAGAGCACTCGCCTTCCATTGAAGTGAACCAAGTTCGAATCCCAGAGAGGCTGGTTGATACGAATTCTGCTCTTGAATCACACCAACCACATTGCTGACGTAAAACATCCTCAGTGGTAGACAGATCATAGGTTTGAATCCCTTAGCCTTCAAACTAACCGTAAGAGTTTTTCGTGGCTTTAATGCCCATGTAACGCATATAGTTCCATCAAAAAGCCCTCAGTTTGTTACAATGTTTAATCCAGGAGTTCCTTTGTCTTCTGGGTTGGGTTCAAAATTACAAAGCTACGGTGTTTAACATTCATTGTCGTAAACTCAGAAATGGATTGGCTGTTCAACGGTGGTTGCAAAATAAAATATCAAGATCTTAGTAGGGGTCAAGATGAATAGGGAAAAACCAAACATTAGCCCAAAATATACTTCAACGATGAAACCGTTATCTCTTTTCGTGTTTTTAATAACCCTGAACTGTCAGCTGCTCATTCTGCCTTATTTTTCGTTGACAAAATTTCATTTCACTAATGGCATAAAATTCTTATCTTGGTTTAATTTTAAAAACTTCCTTAACATGTTTGATTATTTTGATTTTTCTAGTTATTGAATTCAAATTTATAGAATAAAAAACTCCTCTCAAAAATTTAATAAAGTGCATCAAGATGAATTTTGGAAGTAAAACAATTATGTGTCAAAAATTATTATCGGTTACTAAGTAAAAAAAAAAATATGTTTGAAGTGTGATAAATTTTTCTATCCAAATAGCTGTTTAGCTTAGTTCAGTACCACTCAATTATCAGAATTTTCATCAGTATTCATTTATTATCAGTATTACTATTTCCGAGCAATTATTTTCGTGTTTTATTTTACTGTTATTAAATTTATCAATAATTTTACTTCGTTACGAGTTATGTAAACGACCATTAATTATTCATGTATGCGAAGAGAAAGATATGCAGGAATAAGTATCAAATTGCTCTATTATTTTACCATAAAGGGGTTAAAATAATATGCAGGTGGTAAAATTTACGACATGATTATCAAGTCAGTCTTTAAGAGAATTTTGCAGGAGTAGAGATAAAAAAATTTTATTATTTAAAAGTTCGGAAATAGATTTGTTATTAGTTAGGTTCTGTTAGATAAAAGAACAAATTATGTCTTTTTGGTATTAAAGAAATTATATAGACAAATATTCAATATTATTTAATACTTAGTCTATAATTACAAAACTTGTTGCGTTGTAAAAGTAAATGTGACTTAGTTTTGACAATTATTTGATGATGATACAGGCTAAAACAGATAAAATTACTTCAAGGAAAAACAATATATTACTTTAATGACATTTGATTAAGCTTATTTAAATTCTAACTTAGTATGCAAAATTAATTTATTGAATTTGAATGATTTTAATCTAGGTTTGATTAAAATATTAAAAAAGAACACATCATTAATGAAATTAAAGAAAAAGTGCTGATTAAATAAAATCAAAAAATATATCAATCGCTACTTTGATCAAAAACGAAAAAGCAAATTTTTTTTGACTCTTTCAAAAACTTTTCGTGTTTTGTTTTTACTTCAAATAGAGCAGAAGTTATAAAAAATTTTTTAAAAAAAGAAGTATCTATATTAGTTATTAAATTGATAACTGTCTTTTTTGGCATTTTTCTCAACACTAATTTTTCGATTTTTTCTCCTTCATTCTAAATAAGATATCTTAAAATATTTTAATTCAAATTACTTGAAACTTTGCATGAATATTTTCGACACATATGACTAGGGAATAGACTGTGGATCAGTGGATTAAACTATTGTTTTATATTTTACAGCAAAAATAAAAATAATTAATCTCAATTTTTGGCCTATATTTGCTTTAAAATACCTAAATATTAAATATTTTATGTCAAATGCTTAGCTTATTCCCTAATTGAATTTTTATGAGTATGTAGAATAATTAAAAAATAATATTATCAAAGTTATGTGGTTATAAAAAAAGGTAAATTTTTGGTCCATCAGTTTTCCCCATATTTGTTTAAATTTTTTTTCTTCATATTTTTGTATTCATACTATATTTTAGTGTATAATACACACATAGATCTAAATAAAAAATTTCTAAATTAAAAATTTCAAAATATTATCTCCAAAAGGTATACGGTACCTCTTTAAAACGAAATTTTAAATAATGACAGAAAATACGAATTTTTCTTCTTTAGAAATATGTTGCTTAAAAGAAACTAAAATTATAAATACAAGAAACCATTTATATAATTAAACTTAATTATTATCTTTAAATTACTGAATAAAAATTATGACGTTTATATGCTATCTTTTTTTTACATAATGTAGAATACTTTTAAGTATTTCTTCACAGTTTTGTCATAAAACGAATTCCACCGAACTCAATATATAATTATATAACATGAAAAATGCATAATATCATACAAATATGCCGTAACATAATTATATTAAGGCACATAAATATGCCATAATATAATATTTATGTGTCCTACTAACTGCTAAAAATTTTACTAACATTATTATCCTAATAAATTTCCGTGATATTTCGAAATTCCGACCAACGAGAATAAAAACAATTATATTTTTAAATAGAGAACCGCTTTGTAAAGGCATATAAACAGAAAAAAAAATCTCAAAATATTTTTACTTGGAAAAATTATAACAAATGTTGACGAATATATTGTACGCTGTTGCATCAAGAGGTTGAAAAAGTAACCGATCTATCAATATTTACAATTAACGTACGTTCTTCTGTCGCATATTTTAGGGGTTCATCAATATAATTATTATTATTATTTATAATTATATTTATGAACGATTAGGAATAGAAAACTAGGGATTTGAAGCTAGAATCGTAGGTGTCCGGATAAAAAAAAATTTCTGCGTCTTATTACGTAACTTAAAAATAAATTTTTCACAAAATTAGCATATTTAAGATTATACCCTTGAAGCATTGATTGCATCAAATAGTGGAAATCCAATTATTCGATAAAAAGATATTTAGATTTTTTTTTTTGCTCTTCAATCTCTCATGTACACACTAAAATTGAATTTGTCAAGCCTCTTTGCTTTTTAAAGCTGCAGTGGACACCCAAAATCGTGAAAATCACTCGAAAAATCGATTTTCGAATTTTGACTATTTTATATTAAATGGTATAAAAAGGCATATTAATTATTAAAAATCACAGAAATTTGTAAATCATTTGTCAATATTAGTGTTATTTTGCTTTTTTATTACAAAATCTTGTTCTTGTCAGTGTTTTGTGTGTAACAAAAATTTTGCATCAAACTGGAAATTGAAATAGTTCCATGCGCTATAATTTCGATGACTATTCTATGAAACTTTTTTGACACACTCTCTAGATCAATAAAAAAATTTCAAAATAGTGTCACAGTACATTTTATAGTCATTTCAATGGTCCAAAACGTTCATAGAGGGACGATTTTCATTTTTTTTTTCTCCGAAACTTTTTTTTTCTATTTTGTATGGAAATTAGTAGAAAAATGTATAAATTGCTTTTACTACAATTTGAAGAGAAATGTAAATAGAGCTAAAATTAACAAATAATCTTTGAATTTAAGGAAACATTTAGCGCAAGGAGCTTATTTAAACTTCAAAATAAATCGGAAATTTTTTTGAAAATTTTTTTGAACTTTTCATGCTATAGCATGAATTATATATCAATTTTTTTTTTGTGTTATCTATCTAAGTATAAGCAATCCCTGCAAGTTACAGCGATGTAACATTATTTTTAAAGAAAAACTTATTAAGAGTCCACTAGACTTAATCAGGTCCTGTAAATATATTAAATCTAGTCATTTTTTTATAAAAAGCTCCTTTTTTTTCTTAATTACGAATTCAATAGAGGCTATTAAACTTCTATTAACAAAACGATTTAATTTCCTACTAAAATAAAGTCATATTTATATCGTAATAAATTAAAATAATGGTACTTACTGTCTGTAAGAAATTCCAACTGGGGCATCTATTCCTGCCAGCAGCCAGAGATATTCTTAGAGCAATGAATTTTTCCTTCAACTTTCTTCAAAAATCAACATGAAATTCACGAACTAGTTACTTCCTCTTTTTTAAGTATAACTGCTTGCATGGCAATCAAACAATGTTAAGTTGCACGAAACGGGGGGAAGTAGAAATAGGTCCCGTCAGCGTAATCTAAATAACAGCTACAATTGGTTACCACAATAATTAAAAAGCAATAGTACATTCAGATCACGAATAGGTTGAAAAAATTTTGTCCTAGGGTAATGACATTCTCTCCCTTTCCATTACACTAATTCTTGATGAGACAAAATTAAAGCTTTCTTTTTTCCTTCTAGACATTCTGAAAATGGATAATGACTCAAAGATTTGGAAGAAAGCATTCTGTTATTTTTATTTCCTTGCATAATTTATTTTATTACTATAATATAAGGATTTTTTTTAATTCTAAACTTTACTAGCTTGTTTTATTTATTTATTTTTATTTTATTTTATCTGTCGTTGAACAGCCGACCCGATTTCGGGTTTACGACTACTAATGTTCAATTCCGTACCCTTGTAATTTTGAACCAATTCAGAAGACAAGGTAACTCCTGAATCAGTACCCCCAGAGATATGAATTGTTATGGGAACATGGAGGACTTCGTGACCAGACAGATTTAACGTGCATAGGTCGACATCTACTACACGGAGAGTCTTCTGCCAGCGTACATCGAACCCACGACCTCTTGGACATGGACCCAGTTCCCTACCAGAGAGGCTATCCCGGCCTATTTTATTTTATAGGCGTTAAACAGCAGATTCATATAGTTATCCCGGCCCTGATAATGATGTTTAATTTTATTTTATAACATTCGTTGAAAAGCCGACCCAATTTTAGGTTTACGACTACTAATGTTCAACTCAGTACCCTTGTAATTCTGAACCAATCCGAAAGACAAGGAAACTTCTGGATCAGTACCCCGAGAAGTATTGATTTGTTATGGGAACATGGAGGACTTTGCGACTCGACTGATTTAACTTGCATCAATCACCATTTACTACACGGAGAGTCTTCGGATAGGCGAGGATAGAACCCGCGAACTCTTGGACATGGGCCCAGTGCCCAACCAAACAGGCTATCCCGGCCTATTTTATTTTATTGACGTTAAACAGCCGATTCATATCGTTTTCGTGGAAATGTTCAATTCAAACTCAACTTAGAAGACAAAGGTTAGTTAAAAAGTTAATTAAGCATTTGAACATAGTCGCCTTTATGGAGGATGTTTAGAGTGTAACTTACCCACATTTGCGTTACATCTGAAGGAAAAACGCGAAAGCCCTCCCAAGTGTAGCTAACCCGCATTCGCTTTACATCTCAATAAAAAAAACCGCGAAAACACTCTCAAGGTTAGCTCGATGCAAGTAGAATCAGTCTAACCCAAGATCTGTCTGGATCTTAAAGTACCTTTGTACTAGTTCTTGATGAGACAAAATTATGCTTTCTTCGTTCATTCTAAGCATTCATAAAATGGATAATGACTAAAATATTTGAAGAAATAAATGAAATGTTCTGTTATTTTAATTTCCTTGCATAATTTGTTTTATTACTACAATAGATTTTTTTTTAATCCTGAAAAATAATTTTACGACTTCATCTTATTTATTTTATCTTTTCATCGCCATTTTATATTGGTTTTGAGAATATAACAATGTTCATTTTTAAACCCAACCTAGACGGCTAGAGAGTTAATGAATCAAGTATGAGAACTAAGTCGCCTATATAGAGGATTTTTAAAGAGTAACTAAACCTCATTTGCGTTGCATGAGAAGATGTGCGAAATGCCTCCCATGGTTATCTCGATGGCAATAAGAAGAATCTAACCTGAAATCTGTCTAAATCACAGACCCACAGTTTTTGAAAAACGGGTAAAACCTTAAATTTTTGGGGATCAAACAAAGAATTTTGCGAAATATGAAGAATTTTGAACAAATGGCCTATTTTTGATGTGATTAATGTATGCAATATAACAGCTGCAATACAAAAAAAAGATAACTTAATACTAGATAACTAACTTCACTTAATATTCTTGCAATGCGTTTAAAAAGTAAATTTTAAATTTAATATTTTAACTCTTTATTTGTACAAAAAATTATTAACTATAATTATCATGAGATCAAAAATGTTCACAAAATATCAACGGAAAATATACATTACGTTTATAAAATTTCATACTTACATAAATTGCTAACGCAAATTTTTTCTTTGAAGAAGATGGCATATAGCAAAGCGTTATTTTTCAAAATATACTATCTAAGACTAATCAAAAAGTTAAAAAGTCTGAGAAAAGTTAATCAACTTATTACCTAAAATCTTCTAGTAGAAGGTTACTTGCTCTGAAAAATTCGAACTCATTGATTTGAATGCCAATTTCAACTTTTGAAAATAAAAAGCAATAATTTTCAAAATTTCATTCCCAAAAATTCGATTTATGGGTTTATTGGAATCACATACACTTGCAGGCTTGTGTGTTCAATTTAGGCTTATAAGCCTTTGTCAAATAGAAGGACAGATAGTATAATAAGATGGACAGCACGAAGATACAGCCAGGGTAATAGCGGGATTTGAACCCGCTACCTCCACGCTTTGCACAGCGTTTGGCGGACGATACCGGTAGGCCAGGAGGTCCCAAATTCGATTTATTCTCGGAAATAAAACGGGTTTTTTCCAACCATTGCTACTCTGACCACTAGGGATATTTTTCTTCAGCCCTGTGGATGATTTGAACGGGAAGTAGTATAAGAATTGACCTGTCACTGTTGGGTTTCCAACTTGAGCCACCTCATCGGAAGTAGTCCCTGCACTGTAAAAACAGAATCTGTTAAATTTACAGGTAAGTACTGTCATTATAAAACGGTTTACTTCACAGAAAAATGCTGTTATTTAAGAACTTACGCTTGTTTTAAAGCAGATAATTTAACAAAAGCCTCTGTTATTTTAAGAAAAATTGGGTTTGTAAGCTCAAAAGTTCATTATTTTGACTTTTAACTAAAAATGAAAAATACATATTATGGAGGAGTGTTTGAAATTAGTTAGTTACCTTTACATGAGGTTCCTCAGTAGATTTATCGCAAAAACATGGTTCCCAGTTGAACATTGAAATCAAGTATCAATGGCTGCAGTCAGTAAGAGGGTGGGTGACCACTTTGATCAGCCTGCGGAGGGACCGAGAGGGCACGGTATCAGCTCTTGTTAAGCTGTTCTACCGTAAAATGCTCTTCTACGCACGAAGGTCGTCCAAAGTAGGGGGGGGGATCATGACCTCCGCAGAGGATCAAAATTACGATGGCATGCCTTCGAATCATCACCAGAGATGCTTCCCAGACTGTCGCTAATAGCCCATTATGCAGCTCTAGTGAGACGTAAATTTAGTACCTGCCTACGTTTTCTTAAAACTCTTTTGTTATGCCTTATCGCTGAATGGAATGAATAATGCGAGTAGAAAGATATAGAAGAAATAGACACTTACACAGTGAATTGTTTACACAAAAAATTCCGACTGCCAATTGCAATTTTCTTCAAAATCAAGAAAATCAAAATAGTAAGTTTTCGAAAAATTTGCTGCTGGAGCACAACAACTTCTTCAGATAAAGAATATTTTGAATGTTATTAAACTTTCCCACTAAAAATTTTGGCATAGTGAGAAATTCGCAGCAAGGAAATTTTTTATATCAAGTGATACTATACAGTACTATTGTTTTTACGCAGCTGAAGCTGGTTTACACTTGTTTAAGTTCGTATTCGTTAACATTGTAATGCAATGCCTTAAAAATTAATACAAATAGGAAGCATGTAAAAATCTCCTGAATAATAACCCATTACATGTATGTCTAAATATAAAGTATTGCAATATGAACTTGTGCAATATGCAATATGAACAGAACGTCTATTAATTTGGTCTAATTATTATAATTTACTAATACAATACCTGAAATAATAAATATTCTATATTTATATAATACATCGTCTAATTTATCCAATCGTTGAATATATATTATATCGCTGCTTCAAAACTAAAACGACACATCTGCAAACGTGTAATGCCTGCATATGTGTCGTTTTAGTTTCGAAGCAGCGATATATCTTCTGTTATTGTTGTTGTTTTCGTACGCCTGTTTTTGGCAGAGGGGTGCGATTGTTCTTGTTTTTCCAGTGGCTCCATCTATGGCCAAGAATTTGACTTCTGCCACACCCATACGTCACATCCGTTTTATAGGGCTGACCCATCCATTCATTCAGCCACAGATCTTAATTTTGACCTGAATCAGAGAACGATCGATCTCCAATTCAGTACCCCTAGAGGTATTGATTTGTTATGGGAACATGGAGGACTTTGCGCCTCGACAGATTTAACTTGCATCAGTCATCATTTACTACACGGGGAGTCTTCGGCCGGCGGGGTTCGAACTCTCGGACATGGGCCCAGCGCATATATCTTCTAATTTAACCAATTGATGCACGAATGTAAATAAATGCAAACCGGTTTCAGTCGCGTAAATATATATATTAATAATATATATTAAAAATGTGTTTTTAAGAAAAGTGTGTTCGAAATTCAGCAAACTTCTCTAAGCTCTGAAAAAACAAGCTTGGTTGAATCAAAAATGCGCAGTTAATGATAATTTTATTTTAAAAATTTTGTATTACATTCTCCAAGCTTTTGATAATGTTTTTTTTCTTCTTTTTTCCCAATGGATTGAATCTTTGCCTATGGAATTTGAATCTTTGCCTATGGAATTTGAATCTTTGCCTTTGAATTTGGAATTTGAATCTTTGTCTATGAAGATGCCGGAAATTGTTACTCATTTTGCGTTACCTGTGAGCCAAAGTCACGGAGGCGAGCAACATTACCACGCCACACTGCCACAAACCCGTTTGTAGGGTGGGCCACAATTCACACAACAGAGGACAGCACAGAGAGAGAGAAACATCCATGCCCAGAGTGGGATTTGAATCCGCAGTCAGGCGAGCTAACAGCTCGGTCACCTGGCCGGCGCTTTTGATAATGTAAAATTCGGTAAATTTAAAAAAAAAATGATCGTAAGCAAAGAACGAAGAAAAAAACTCTCTTATGCTTGAGTTTTACAAATATTAATCAAAGCTTTAAGTAAGTCAGATTATATTTAAGCTCAAAACTTGATATAAAGCTAAATTTGATGTATGACTTGGATTAAGCTTATGTAAGTAAAGACTTCATTGCTTATTTGTAATAATGCTTTTTGGAAGAAGATGAGTCATCATACATTGTTAATGATAATATTATTTAAAGTGCCAAATACTATAAATAAAAATAAAATCATGATTTTGATCAAAAGAAAGAAATCAAAGAACAGTCTTTTAACTTTAGTTTTAAAAAATGTTACGTAGAATTATAATTAAGCTCAAAATTTCCTATTTTTACCATCTGGTGAAATATCTATCCATTGACAATCCCAGTCAATGAATAAAATTTCATTGTTCACTTATACTAATCTAATTTGATGTCGCGCGTCCTTGTTCTACATCTCGAAAATACTTGTGTAGAATCCTCAAAAAATAAAAAATAAATTTACCTGTTCAGATTAAGTAAGAGGAGAGAAATGTTTTCGAAAATGTGTTTTCGAAAAATACTGAAATTTCACCAAGACAAAAAATTGTTAAGTCTGACTTATCTTCTTCAAAGAGCCAAGATTAACAATAGTTATTTCCAATCTTGAAACAGATTTTTTTTTTTTTTTTTAAGGAAAAGGGTTATTTTATGATTTATTGTAAATTATAAAATATTTCATCAGCAATGAAGGAAATCAATCGGTTCTATCGCTTCTTCTTACTACTATTTTTAAAAGTTATGGAGAGGGGACATATATATTGATTATATTTTGGAAAGAAATTATAATAACGAGTTGTCTAAAACAGTTAGCAGGATAATCGCAAGTCAAGTTATAATTTATTATATAATTTATAATTATAATTATTATTGTAATTATTATTAAAATTATAGACTTTATAATTATAATTAGAATTAAGTGATTCTATAATTATAATTATTCTATAATTTATTATGTAAATCTAAAATTAAAACTATTAACCAATAAAACTATAAACCTAAAATTAAAACTATTTTTTTTTATATGAAATTAAACTTTTTAACGCGTAAGTATTAGACTTAACCTTCTGAGACGTGAGTGGGTTCAAATGCTTGAGCGGGTTGCGGGTTCAAATCCCAATTTCTCTGTGTGTACTGTCCTCTGTTATGTGATATGTGAATATAGCCTGCCTCAAGTACGGAGCTGTGGAATTGTGGCGTGAGTAATGTTGCTTGCCTTCATGACCTAAGTGGCAGGGACAGTCTGGTTGATAGGGCTTTGGGTCCATGACTGAATGGTCGTGAGTTCGATTCCCGCCTATCGAAGATTTCCGGTGTACAAAATTGCATCTGGTGCATGCTACATTTGTCGAAGTCACAAACTCCTCCAAGTTCCTATAACAAATCAATGCCTCTGGAGGTACTGGTTCGGAGATCGATCGCTCGGGATCAAGTCTAAATTACGATCTGCAGATAAATGGATGATGTGTGAATATGTCCAACGGGATGTGGCGTATGTATGTTGTCTCCGGATCATCAGAGATGTTTCACAGACCGTCGCCAATAGCCCACTTTGCAGCTTGAGTGCGACGTAAATAACAGTTTCATACCGTACCTTTCCATGATCTAGGATCATAGGTGCCTACCGGGTAACGTTAAATAAATAACAGTTCCGACGTCTTCCGAGGTGAAGAACTAATAACTCAGTGCCTGTCGTTAAGGGGAAAAAATGAAAAGTTTTTTTAGTCTTGAGTTTTGTACACTAGGGATCGATTACACTAGGGAACAAATTTCTTGTTGCATTTATACAAATGCTTATTCTTGTCTAATTCGGGTTTAGGTATTTCAAATTTGAAATTAGTTTTGCTCCTTAAGTTTTCTTTTCTTTCTTCAAATTATGTATTAAGTCTATTTTTTGTCGAAATGTACAAGTTTAAAAACATTTTTTTTATATCAATAGGTCACGTTGATGCTTACATTTACTTTGAGTTAAGACCCAGCATCAGGATTTAAACTGGGTTGGAACCCATGGACGGAAATGTCGTCGTACGCGGCTAAGGACGCTTCCTTAGTATGACCTGTTCAGAAGCATACGAAGAAACAGCTCGTAATAGGGAAATGCACCTAGTGGCATATGACGACAATTCTGAGCATGGGTTTATATGCAGTTTTACTTCTAATTATGCATCCTATTTCTCCTAAGAAGTTTGTCGCAGCATTTATGCTGTATAACGAATAACGAATCCTGTCATATATAACAACAAAGATATTATTAAAAATGTCATTTAAAAAATTTTTAGCTTGGAGATAATTTCTGATTGCAGATTTGAAATCAGATATATGAAAGCATCTAAGATCTGTTTA